AAAAAAAAAAAAAAAACCCCGAAAGGGGTCAGAAACATTTCCAGTGGCTCCACTGAAGTGTCTACATGAAACTCCCTCTTTAGGCCTCGGGTAACTTGCTTGACCTCCCTAGACCTCAGTTTCATCTGTAGGATTGGGGAGGTTTGACAGGACGGATCCCTGAGGATTCTCTCAACACTTCACATCCTAAGGAGACAGGCAGATAACTTACATGCCCTTTTCTCTAACAAAAAACATCTGCCCGGAAAGGCCTTTAAATTGTTTTGGAACTGCTTCTATCACTGGACAACAATCTGGAGCAATCGGCCCCAACATAGGGTGCACCTGCCCCAGGTGACAGGCAAGGTGACTCCCCGGAGAGGGAGAATATCAGAACGTCTATTTATGTGGGATTTACAGTGTACATATTAGCACAGTAGCACACTGTAACTTAATAAATAAGTTAATAAGCAATAGTGGAGGTGGAAGTATGCTCAGAAGTCTTTTCTTTTTGGCCAGGCACCGTGGCTTCTGCCTAGAGTCCCAGCTACTCAGGAAACTGAGGCAGGAGGATCACATGAAGCCAGGAGTTTGAGACCAGCCTGGGCAACATAGCAAGACCTTGTCACTAAAAAATAAAAAATCTTTTTTTTTTTAATTAGAGTATGTAACCAAAAAGTTTGGAGGCCACTGAACTAAGAAACTAGTTAAGTCAGTAGCCAGACCCATCATTTGACAGCCTGACAAATTGTGGGTGAAGCATCATGATTAATTATCACAGTTAGTTATTCCAATGTGGTTTTTGTCCTTGGAACATAAGACCCTACCACAAGACCATATCAACTTGGGCTTTCATCAGGGTTTACTCTCAAATTCACTAATTTTCAGTTCAGAACCTGGCACTGAACCTGGCAAGCTTCTTATGTAAAGGGTTAGACAGCAAGTATTCCCGGCTCTGGAGGCCACACAGTCTCTAGAACTATGCAACTCTCATCATAGCGCTCAAGCAGCCAGAGACAATACATAAAAGAATGGGCATGGCTGTGTTTCAATAAAACTTTATTTATGGACACTGAAATTTGTCACATAATTTTCATGTTACAAAATATTCTTTTTATTTTTTCCAACCACTTGAAAATGTAAAAGCCATTCTCAGCTTGTAAAGCCAAATACAAGTGGTAGACTGTGATTTGACCCCTCGACTGTAGTTTGCCAATCCCTGACTTAGAAACTTTAGAAAAGTTTATTTATTTTTTTATTTATTTTTGAGACAGGGTCTCACTCTGTCACCCAGCCTGGACTGTTGCAGTGGCGTCATAATAGCTCACTGCAGCCTCAAACTCCTGGGCTCAAGCAATCCTCCTGCCTCAGACTCCTGAGTAGCTGGGACTACAGGCATGTGCCACCATGCCTGGCTAATTTTATATATATTTTTAGTTGTCCAGATCATTTCTTTCTATTTTTTTAGTAGAGACAGGGTCTTGCTCTTGCTCAGGCTGGTCTCAAACTCCTGACATTGAGCGATCCACTCGCCTCGGCCCCCCAGAGAGTGCTAGGATTACAGGCGTGAGCCACCATGCCCAGCCTTTTTTGCATTTTTTAATTGGGATATTTGTCTTTTTATGTTGAACTATAAGAGTTCCTTATATATTCTGGATACTAGACCCTTAGCAGATACATGATATGCAAATGTTTTCCCCCATCTGATGGGTTGTCTTTTCATGTTCTTGATAGTGTCCTTGGATGCACAAAACTTTTTTAACTTTGATGAAGTCCAATTTATCCGTTTTTCTCTTTGGTTTCTTGCACTTTTGGCATCATATCTAGTCTGAGATCACTAAGGTTTTCACCTGTTTGCTCTGAAGAGTTTAGTTTTTGTTATCACATTTAGGCCTTTGATCCATTTTTATTTTTTGTGTATGGCATGAGGTGGGTTTCTAGTTGTCCCAGCACCTTTTGTTGAAAAGACTATTCCTCTCCCCATGGCATTGTCTTGACACCTTTGTCGAATATCAATTGATGATGACCGTGAAGGTTTCTTTCTGGACTCTCAATTCTGTGTCATTGTCCTATGCTTATCCTTATGCCAGTACCACACTGCCGCATTTCTGTAACTTTGTAGTAAGTTTTGAAATCCGGGAGTGTGCGTCCTCCGGCTTTGTTCTTTTTCAAGGTTGCTGTGGCTGTGCTGGGTTCCTTGTGTTTATTCCCATGTGAATTTTAGGATAAGCTTATCCATTTCTGCAAAAAAAGACAATTGGAATTTTCATAGGGCTTGCATTAAATCTGCATATCCATCTAGGGAGTATTGCTATCCTAACTGCAATATTAAGTCTTCCAATCCACGAACACAGGCTGTCTCCATTTATTCAGGTCTTATTTGTTTAATTTCAGCAGAGTTTTATAGTTTTCAGTGTACAAATCTTGTACTTTATTCCTTAATATTACATTATTTTTGATGCTATTGTAAATGGAATTGTCTTCTTAATTTCATTTCTGGATTATTCATTGCTAGTGTATAGCAATAAAGCTTATTTTTATATATTGATCTTGCATCCTGCAACATTCCTGAACTCACTTATTAGCTTTAATTGTGTGTGTGTATCTGTGTGTGTGTATTCTTTGGGGTTTTCTATGCATAAGATCGTGTCACCTGCAAATAGAAATAGTTTTCTTTTTTTTCAAATTAGATGTCTTTCTTGCCCAATTGCCCTAACTAGAACCTCCAGTAAGTACAATGTCGAATAGAAGTGGCAAGAGCAGACATCCTTGCCTTGTTCCTGATCTTAGGGGGAAAGATTTCAGTCTTTCACCAGCAAGTATGATGGTAGCTGAGGGTCTGCATGAAGTTCCCTGTATTCCTAGTTTGTTGAGTGTTTTTACC